AAACCGCTCGGCTGTCAAAAACCTCGACTGTGCCACTGTTCGAGAGGTTTCTGCGACGTGGTCGGCGGCAACGACAATCCGCGATGCGCATAGAGATCCCCCCGTGCAGCCTAACAGGATACCCATCACAATCACTTAAAGATGCAGGCTCTCTCTTGTGTGCTGCAGGTATAGAAATCGTTAAATGCTGATTGAGTCTTAGGCCACAAGCCCGAAGCTTGTTGAAGATTACTTTCAGTCTACTTAACCCCAAAGGCCCTGACCCTTCATGTCATTCCAGAAGCCGTGTCAGCCACGACATGGCCAAGACTAAGCACATTGAAGAAGCCTTTGCTGGCAACTTCTGCTAAACCCTGAACCCTAAACCTAAACCCTTATACCCTAAACCCTTATACCCTAAACTAAACCTGAAACCCTAAACCCTAAACCTAAACCCTTAGACCCTAAACTAAACCTGAAACCCTAAACCCTAAACCTAAACCCTTATACCCTAAACTAAACCTGAAACCCTAAACCCTAAACCGTAAACCTAAACCCTTATTCCCTAGTCCAAACCTGAAGCCCTAAACCCTAAACCCTGAACCCTTATACCCTAGACTAAACCTGAAGCCCTAAACCCTAAACCCTGAACCCTACAAAACCTGAAGCCCTAAACCCTAAACCCTGAACCCTACAAAACCGAGGCTTACATTCCAACCGCGCCGGCTCCGCGAAGATTCCCCAAGCTTCAGACCTAAAGCCAAGGCCTCGGTTTAGGGTTTAGGGTTTAGGGTTTAGGGTTTAGGGTCAACCCCCTTAGACCCAAAACCCAAAACCACAAATCCTGCAACCCTACACCCCTACTCTACACCTGAAGCCCTAAACCCTGAACCCCCAAAACCCTAAAGCCTAAACCCTTCCAACCCTAAACTCTAACCTAGCTCCCGAACCTTGGCCTGCCAGAAGCTTCACAAACACGCCGTACTTCAAACCATACGCCGCTGACCCTGCGTCTTCTACCTCCAACATGCGCCCCAAAACCGGCGTAAGAGCTTGATTCGTCCGTTGGATACTTAAAGATTCCCTACAGAATAAGAGTGCGCCATTGAGGGTTCACCCTAAACCCTAAACACTAATCTAAGGCCCTAGATCCTGAAGTGACTAGGCTGAGCCTGACTGGTGTTCGCGGCGTCGCCGTGACACGACGAAAACTGGGCAAGCTCACAAAGCGCCTGGCACAGATAGTGGCTTATGGGCTTCAGCCCTACAACGTTCAACTCTAAAGCCCAAAACCTTCGACCCTAAACCCTCAAAGCTCTGAAACCCTGGACCCTAAAGCCTCAGAACCTCCGAAACTGAAACCCTAACCCCTCAACCCTCAAAGCTCTGAAACCCTAGACCCTACCTGTAACCGAAAAGACCTACCGTTTTAAGGAACTATATGTAGAAACCATAATAAGGAACCCTAAGAAGGTAGGTCTTTTCGGTTACAGGTAAACCCTCAAAGCTGAAACCCTTAAGCCCTATAGAATCCCATAGAACCCTTAAAGGAACCCTAAAACCCCCCCACTTATAACTACCCTAAACCCTCAAAGCTGAAACCCCTTAAGCCGCGGGAGGTTTTGGGACACAGGCCTCCGCCCAAGACGTCTCAGAGGCGCTCCAGAGCCTGCTGCAGTTGGGCCTGGTCAGAAGAGGCTTAGGGCTTAGGGTTATGGGGTTTAGGGTTTAGGGTTTAGGGTTTCGGGATTAGGGTTTAGGGTGTTAGGAGGCTTTTCATGTAAGGTCTTGGCTTCCAATATGTTACGAGAAGGGTCTTATTGCTTTTAGGGTTTAGGGCCCTGATGAAGAAGAGCCTGTTCATGTAAGGTAGCGGCTTACGGTGGCACTTGAAGGGTACAACACAGTCTGCTTGAGGTTGCAAGTTGGCTATGCAAGGTGGGTTAGGGTTGCGGGTTGTTTGATGGAGTTTAGGGGGGATTTGGGCTTAGGGTTCAGAGTTTGGTTCGTACACACTTGTGAGTTATGGGCTTTCAGGTCAGGGCAGATAAGGTGCTACAGGTGTAGAGCTTCCGTGTGCCTTTACAGGGGTTTATGTGCGGAGCCTTTCCGTCTCTCGGGCTGACGCCAGTCGTGAAGATAATCGTCAAGGCTACCTGAGTCACAAGAAAGTCCATGAGTTGCGCCTGATTGTAGGGGCCCTGATAATCAGAATAGCTTTTTCGGGGGGTATGGATACTGTAACTATAATTACCAAGGAAGCCCAAAATACCCTAAAACCCTAAACCCTAAACCCTAAACCCTAAACCCTAAACCGTATAGTATTGTCATTGATTAGTGCCCAGCTCTAAGGCTCAGGGTTTCTGGATTTCCTGATAGAGCGGCTGACAGGGTTTGGGGCTTTTGCTAGCCGAGAGATCTTGAGGATCTTTGTACTGGTTTCGGGGGCTTAGGGGCTTAGGGCTTTAATGGTTAAGAGTGTAGAGGTCTTGGAGCAAACCCTAAACTCTAAACCCTTATGGTAATCCTTAATTATCGTAGCCCTACAGAACCGTATAGGGCTTTAGTTCAGAGTTTAGGCAGTTTAGGGTACAAGGATTAGGCCTCGGAGGCAACGCCGAGGGCAGACTCACCGAGGTGGCGCCAGCTGCGCTGCAATGCCAAGGCCTGGCGAACCGCGGCTGTTGGTCCGTAGGGGCGTAGGGTTTAGGGTTTAGGGTTTAGGGGGTTAGGGCTTTAGGGGTTTAGGGTTTAGGGTTTAGGGTTTAAGGTAGGGGTTGAGGGATGAGGGCTTTTCGGGCGTAGGTTCGAAACACCCCTCAGATGTTTGGACCCTTTAGCACCCAAAGAAGCCAACACCACTAGTGTATTTAGGGGTATTCTCCTGGTCCTAGGCTCAGGCTAGGAAACACTGCAGAAGCTAAACTTCCTTACTCAAGAAAGGGTGATTTGGTCTCTGAGTGGGCTCAGTCCTTCAGCACTTGAGGGGGGTTTGTTAATTGCCGTGGCAACGGTGACATACCCTGCATGCGCCTGTAGGGGATGCATCAAAGGATGACTTCCTTGCTTCTCGACCATAAAAGTAAATGCTTCGGCTCGAACTGTATTCCCGAAAACCTCTGCCAACCCAGTCTGGGGCTTTCAGAACTCCAGCACTAAACCCCAAATTATAAACCCCAAACCGCTGTATCATCAGGCTGGAGAGTTCAGAACTCGACCGCTTGGGGGCGTAGGTTGAGCTTAGGGCTTAGGGCTCATGGCCTTTAGGGATTTTAACAAGGCTGACGGCTTAGGGCTTTCAGCCCTTGGCTGCTTCAATTGCCAGGCCCAAAGCACCTTCAACTCTTCTCAGTAGGTTAAAAGTAGAGGGTTTAGGGTTAAAGATCAGATGTAAGAAATCTGCCGGTTTTCCGCGGAATTGATGAAGACGCTTGGTTGAAAAACCTGGAATCTGGAAAAAGCCTAAACCGCGAAGTCTAAGCCGGATCCACTCAGCTTTCCAGCCTACAGCCTCTGCAGCGCAACCGCAACAATTAGGGTTTAGGGCTTAGGGTTTAGGGTTTAGGGTCTGGGGCCTGAAGAAGTAATAATGAGAACGGTGCACAGGGTGTTGTGAGGTTAAGACCGGGGTCTTATCCGGCTTCAATCGGCTTTACAGCTACGTGCCGGCCTCTATGGGAGCGCTAGGGGCTAATGGTTCAGACCGCCACATGAGATGAGGCCTACGCAACCACATTTAGGCTTTGAGGGAGAGCAAGGGTCTTTAGGATCTGATAAGCTGTCCCTAAACCATACACCCTAAGCCCTAATGATGTAGGAACTATAATGGCAAAGAAAATCATCTTGGAGGCTGCATGAAGCCTGATCCTCGCCAAGATTTGAGATCTAACATCCTTGTTGAGACTTCACGTTAGGGTTAAAGGTTTAGTGTAAACACCATCAGTGGAATCAGGCCTTGTCGCGCTGGCAGACGCAATGAAACGCCAAATACTCTCCTTGGGGGGGAGGGGGGGCTGGTCAGATCGCTCCTAATCGCCCTGGAACCTGGCAGAGTCCTTCATAGACTGCCCAATTGACAACACAACAGGATGGTGTTTAATTAGGGTAATGACACCTAAACGTTTCCAATAGTATTCCTTAGGGCGCCTTGCTATACTTACACGAAGAAGGAGCCCAACCCAAGCTCCTGCTCTGCTCAGCAGGGCCCCTACGTTATATGGTTGTGCCCTGCGCGGTCCGGGCCTCCCTCACTCCGCCCCGTACGCTATCCCCACCCACCCCGGCCACTTCACGCCAATTTGAACCCCCAACCCTAAACCCTACACCCTAAACCCTAAACCCTACACCCTAAACCCTAAACCCTACACCCTAAACCCTAAACCCTCAACCCTGCAGCCGAACCCTCGCAACCCTTCCGCAGGGGAGGGGACGCCAACTCCGGAGCCTGAGGCCCAAGCCGTTCCAGAGGGCGGGGCGATGGCGGGAGGGAGGAGAAGGGATGGGGGGCAGGGACCTGCCCCGGCTATACATGCTTGTCTTTTTTTTGTGTGTGTCTGCATGCATTTATACACATGCACATGTGTATAGACATGTACACATACATGTATGTAATACATATGTATATATATATATACAGAGAGAGAGAGAGGGATAGCATGTATACATATATGTATACATATTCACATCCGAGCTCTACCAACAACAAGTTTGAACAGCGCAAGCCCTACCACGATCTAAACAACCTTTAGGACAGGGGGCTGGTAAACGTGGGCATCCTTGTGAGCAGGTTTCCTATGCAAGGATTCAAACATTTAGGGTCTATACCCGGCCCTGTTTGCAGGGATTCCCCATGCTTAGGCTTCAGCGAAGCGGGACGATGATGGTCGTGGAAGGCGCTGCAAGCTCCCCGAGAACGCAATTGTGATAAAGCCCAGCTTACGTGGAGGATCATGAGACTACGTAACGAGGGTTATTAACATGGTAAGGACGGTCAGAACTACGTCTGACTCCAATAAGGATACCGCAGCCTGTGACCTTACTTATTAAGTCCCATGACCCTCCAAGTAGAAACAAGATTTTGGATGTAAGCGCCGTGCTCTCATTGCAGCGGGCCACCACATGGCGAGGCCTGCCAATGTATTGAGGATTCATGGCTTCGCCCTTAAAGTCTCGAAGCCTCAACGGGCGGTGGCACCTCATCGGGCTTATAGGTGCTTCTTCGGCTTATAGGTTTATAAGGCATACTAGGATTTAAAGCACTTCTAGGCATTAGGGGCATGTATAGGGTTTTGAGATATAAGGCTTAGGGCTTAGGGTTTAAGTAAGGCGTGCGCTTCAGGGGGCCTCAAGGCTCGGAACATTATGCTCCCGAAACAAACTCTGTGCTCCTCGCCTTGGAAAAGGACAGTGGTCCAAGATAGCGGGTTTTAGGGTTTAGGGTTTAGGGTTCAGGGGTCGGATACGCCAACGAGAAAGTTCTGTGTCTAAACCCTAAATCCTAAGCAGGAGAGGGTCAGGGGCGCAAAGCTGCTTATGCTTGGGGCTCTGGATACAACGGCTTGCTAAGACAATCCCGAATCGATGCCAGCTTGGGGACGATAAACCTACTGTAGGGGCCTTAATAATTAAAATAGGGTTTTGGGGTTTCCTTATTATAATTATAGTATACTATACCCCAAATCCTATTCTAATTATTAAGGCCCCTATATTAAATGGGATTGATGCAGCAAAGCACCTTGGGATGGCTTGAAAGCTTTGATGCCGAACACACATGTTCCCTGCAGGACAGGGCAGTATATAAACCCTAAACCCCAAACCCTGAACCCTAAACCCTAAACCCTCAACCCTCAACCCTAAAACCCTAAGACCCTAAACCCTAAGCGCCAAAGCCCAGGCTTGATCTTGAGTTTAAGGCTAGCTGCCAGAAGCAACAGACTTCAGCAGCCGAGATGACGAAGCATGCGAACCTAAGCAAGGAACCTCGGGCTCAATGTGGGCTCTTCTTATAGTCGAATCCTAACATATATTTTGGGGTTGTAGGGCCCGGAGTTTCTGACTCAGATTCCCCTTCATTGTTCATTATTCAACAATAAGGTTAGGATTTAGGGTTTAGGGTTATTTAGGTAGGGTTTAGGGTTTAGGGTTTAGGGAATAAGGTTTAGGGTTTAGGGTTTAAGGGCTTTACCAATCCAGAACAAGCTTCAAGAGTCAGATGGTAGCGGCGCTGAGAACCCCACGTCCTCTGCCAAAGGTCGTGCAGCTCGAAGGCAAGGTAGTGAGCTCGGGTGCCGAAGTGAGGAAAATATTGAACCTGAAAGTGGGACTTTCCGAAAATTAGGCTACCTTATTTTGGGGTCCTTATAATAAGGATCCTACTATTTAGGGTACTATATTAGGGTCCCCTATTTTCGGAAACCCCCAAGTATCTATGTAGGCGGCTGAGATATGAGACGGGGCACTTCTTCAACGTTCGGCGTTGGGATTTGAAGGAATTGAACGAACTGCATTGTAGTGGCAGTTTGTCTATACATTCCATACCTGCAGGGAGCTCGAAAAGTCGCTACTCAGTCTGTGGAGCTTGTGCCAAGGGCATCTTTCTTTAAATCTCTCTCCGTATCCCTCTGATGACTCTTCGGACCAGCAAGTAAAGGAGATGCCCGCTGACTTCACCTGCAGCTTCAGCAGGGGCCTAAACTGAACATGCACTTCCGAAGCCGCCAACGCACGGAAGAATAACGAAACGCTACCATGGAACCTTCCAACCCCCCTAACTCCCCATGCCTCGAAACACAACCGATAAAGGAACCATTACAAGAACCCCTAAACCCTAAACCCAAAAGAAATTAACCTAAATGGAACCCTAAAAAGGAACCCTTAAGGATCCTTGCCTCCCAAAAGCGACGTTTAGTGCTCCCTCGGCCGGAACATCGTCCAAAGAGACGTACATTCACCCAAGGCACCCGACAGCAGAAAGCGTTTCGGGTTTAGGGGTTTAAGGGTTTAGGGGTTTAGGGTTTCTAGGGCCTAGGGAGTCTGGGGTTCGGGTTCTAGGGCCTAGGAAGTTTAGGGTTTAGGGTTTAGGACCTTGGGAGTTTAGGGTTTAGGATCAAAAAATACCCCAAGCATCTCCAAATCCTGGGCCGGACTTCCCCACCTCGGACAAGAGCTCCATGTATACCTGAGCCCGTATCCTACATACGTAGCTGCCCAGTACCCTGGGCCAAAAAAGTTTAAACTTTTCTTTTAGTAGGGGTTTAATATACCAAAAAAGTTTAAAGTTTACCTATTGGGCTCCTACGCATGTGAAGTGTAGTGTAGGGCTTGGAACTATGGAAATAGCTAAAGTCGGGTCATGTTAGAGCCGTACCTTTTACAGAGTTAGTTGAGTTGGAAGGGGGTTTGCCTGGTTTGAGCGTTTCGTTCGGGAACGCCGGGGCTTTTAATTTTCTGATCGGGGTTGAGGGCCGCCGGGTTTCACATCTTCACAAAAAACAAGGCGTGAAAACCATGGAGCTCTTTGCAAATGAAGGCTGTGCAAGTTTTGGGCTTTGGCAGAAAGGCTTTGAGGTTTCAGGGCCTGGGACTTCGCAGAGAAACTTGGGACCTCAAGCCGAAAAGCCTAAACCCAAATCCCGAAGCCATGTCCTGAACCCGACTGGAGGTTGCTCATTTAAGGTGATGTCCGCGCCCGAAAGCTTTGAAGAGCTGGCTTTTCTGTTAGATCCCGCGCCCTGAACCCTAAATCCTAAACCCTAAACCCTAAACCCTGCTTGCAAGCAGGTTCCGAGACCACAGATGAACGCTTGAGGGTTCGGGGCTCCTGTCAGTTTGTCTCAGTGAGAATCCTTTCCGTGGACCTCGGGGCATCGAATCGTATGGGACTTTGAGAAGATCTCGGGTGGTTTAGCAGAGAGCCTTTTCAGGCAGGGAACTCGTGAACACTGAGAGGTGCGTTATCAAGAGCAGTGTCAGTCCACGGACTGGAATGTAAACTCCTAACCACAGGCTGCTATTCGAGTGACCCGGATGCTGACCTGTTTTCTGGATTCCAGGGATCCCAGAACCCGACATCCAAAAGCAAAGGAACTCAATCAACTTCACCCCGCCCAAACGTTGATCTGCTATCTATGTGCGCTAACCCACTCCCTGACCTGCACCCCAGACCCTAAACCCTTAAACCCTAAACCCTGAATCCTTGAACCTTAAACCTAAATCCTGGACCCAAAACCCTAAACCCTAAGTGAAGCCGCGGCACGTCGTCGTCTAAGCGACTGGATCCGGACCTCAGCAGGGACTGCAAATGCAACTGTGCTTGCCCTTGGCTGTCTTGGATATCAATATTCCCTACTAGAGTTTAGGGTTAACGTCCTAAGTCCTAAGGCTTGCGATCTCTCTCTCTCTCTCTCCCTCTCTCTCTCTCTCCCTCGCAAGCGAAATGCATGCATGTAGGTGTGCATGTGTGCCTGTGTGCACACACATATATATATATGTGTATATATATGTGAATGGAAACGGACATACAGATACAATCATGTACATATGCCGCCGCACAGTGTCTGTGAAGATGTCTTAGCACCGAACCGCCTAACGAACTCTATATCTACCTGCCGGATGGCGATGTCTCTTCATCTCTTCCTCTCTCTCTCTCTCTCTTCCTTGCTCAGCCTTTCAAGGAGTGTAGAGTCGAAGGCGCGCTACCTACCGAGGCTCCCCAAAGCCCGAAAGTTCGGGGTTAAGGGTTTAGGAGCCTCATAAGTTCCAGGGGTCCTACATCTGAATCTCCGCTGGGAATTCGTCTAACGACCAACTGTTGAAGATCGCTGGCACACTTTGAGTTTACGATTTAGGGTTTTGGGGTTTGGCCCGAGCTTGCAGCAATCCCTCATTCATCGACCGCTCCTTTCTCCCTAACCCGGCTCCGAAGTGGCAATCCCTTCTCCCAAAACCCCCTAGATGTACTCCCCAAATCCGCACCCTAAACCCTAAACCCTAACCCCTAAACCGTGCTAGCCTGTGTCAGAAGGGTCCTGAAAACATGGTCTCAAGGAATGCAAAAAGGCCCTTGTAACAACATGTGGAAATCTCATGGCTTCTGCTTATGCCACCCCTTAACCCTAAACCCGAAACCCGTAACCCTAAACCCTTAACACTAAACCCTTAACCCTAAACCCTTAACCCTAAACCCTAAACCTTTGACCCTAAACCCTTAACCCTTTTCCGTTTAACCTTCTGCAGAGGCTGCGGCGTGTTCTCGAAGGCGTCGCTCCCTGGGTCGCTCCGAGAGTCTTAGGATTGGGTTCAGGGTTCCGGGTTTGGGGCTTGAATTTAGGCTTTTTGGGTTGGGGTTTGGGGTTTAGGGTTGAGGGTTGGGGGTTGCGACGCTTTTTGGTTTTCAGTGGCACAGCAGTTACTGCTAGGAATCCCCTTTTTGCACAGGTACATACTAACTGAGCCATAAACTCCCAAAACCCTACACAAGACCCTACAGCCACCGGAGTCCAAACCCTCGCATTCCCAAACGAGGGGCTCCCATGAAGGCATGTTTTTCCCTGTGCCCGGCGTTGCGAGGGTGCGACCCCACCCTGCCTTTTGGGCAAACAACATGCCTCCTCGCTTTGCTCAGTTGGCAGCCCCAACCCAAAACTCTGGACTTTTTCTTCAGAGAGGGCTGCAAGGAGGGACCTTTCTTGCGGTTTAGAGTCTACGGCCTAGGGCTTGGAATGGCTTGGAGTTTAGAGGTTGGGGGCTTATCCGCTGCAGCGACGCACATGGCGGCAGTCCGAGACCATGGATCCACCCACTGCGACTCGCCGAGCGGAAGGGTGATGATGTGAGTGTTGTCGACTAATAGCTCGAGCTGCTCCCCGTGCCAGCGAAACTCGAAGATGTGGTCCAAGCAATCTTCGATTCGCATCCATCTCTCTGAAGGTGCCCGGATACGCTCTCCGTTGGCGCGGCGAAACTGAATCTCCCCTTCGGCTGTGAATGGTGTCTTGAAAATGATGCAGGTACTGTTCTCCGGAGTCCTGCGGTGTTCTGCTTTTCGTAGCGCCAGCACCAAGAAACGCGATCCTCTAGGTACCAGTCTAGCGGCCCGTCGGGCTGGAATGCAAGTACGGACAATCCCGCTTGGCCGGCGTAGATGACTGTGGCCGAGCTGAACGCCGAACTCGTCCGCATGGGGCTGTGTCAGCTCACACCAACAGCGACCATCAAGAGTCCCGACCGTGAAGGTGCATCTCTGCACTTCGTCTGCCGCGTCGAGCTCCAGATACACTGGTGAGTGTACTGGAAGCTTGCTTCGCCATAGAGTTGTGATGGTCTCTGCAAGTATCATGGTCCGCTTAACCACCGGCCACTGGAGGGCCATAACGCGAGACGTGCACATTGCCATCGTCAATCTGGACCCTTTCCGGAGCCAACCTTCTCGAATGGCAGCACTTGCAATGATGCCTGCATGCTTGTTGGTCCAGGTCTTCGGATCCAACACCAATTCCTCGGCCCTGCAGCATGTTTGCTGCAATTGCACCAGAGATACAAGATCCCCGACGCAACTGGCCGCATTCGCGGCCAGCTGACCATGCAAGTTTTGAAGACTGCCTCCTCGCCGGTCTTCATCTCTGCTGCAGCCAGCGACTGCATCCTGTCGCGCAGACACACACACACACACACGCGCGTTTACTTTTTCTTTCACCCGACTAGGATGACTAAGGCATACTCTACAATCTGGGTCTCCTCTACGTCGTCTACTCATTTTGTCTAGGTACGTGGGCCTTCCGAGTTTTTAATTTTATAGGTATGACAGTACTGGCATGGTACAATGCTACGTCCAGTTGTTGCAAACTTACACACAGGCCCTCGATCCGGAAGAGGCCGGAGCACATACGAGGATTCAAAGGCCAGGAGCTTGACTCCGTCGAGTAAGAGACCGGGCAGTTGAGATCATCGACACTAATCGAGTGCCATATGTGCGTTCGATTGGTGGGGTTTAGTTCGAGAAACCCATCCTGTTTCTGCAGGGCCATGAAGTGGGAATTGGCCGCCACGATAAACTCGCCGTCTCTGCACATGGCCACATGAGAGTTTAAGGCTTAGGGTTCAGAGTTTAGGGTTTAGGCCCTCCGTCACGGTCTCCAAGGAATCCTAATTTACTTTCAAGAGCCATCCATTAGCGAGGCTGTCGGTCCAGGGCTAGCAGTATGTACTTGGGCTCAAACCCAAGCCGGAAATCCAACAAAGTGGAAAACATGAACGGGTTTAGGGTTTAGGGTTTAACGTTTTAGGGTTGAAATTTGGGGATCTTGGAAACTACGACGGCTACACGTCAGGTCCCATCCAAAATGAGAACACTCAGACCTACTGAACTAATTCACTACTAAGGTCCCCCTGACAGACCAGGAGGGAACGACATGCAAGGTCACTCTACGTAGTAGCCACCACACCAACCGCAGTCGGCCCTCCCATTCTCCGTAAACGCCCCAACTCAACCTGCTCAGTGACCCTTCTTCAAGCAAAGCAAGCAGAAATAGTTCTCTGCGAAACCTACGCATAGAACCCTAAACCCTACACCCGAAACCCTAGAACCCTAGAACCCTAAACCCCAAACCCTACACCCCAAACCCTAAACCCTAAACCCTAGAACCCTAAACCCCCAAACCCTAAACCCTAGAACCCTAAACCCTACACCCCCAAACCCTAGAACTCTGGAACCCTAAACGCTAGAACCCTCAACTCCCAGAGCCGGATAGTTCAGATTCACGAGATCAGGTAACAGTGCTTCGGGAGCCTAGTGCTTTTAGGGCATTTAGGGCGTTTCCGGGTTTTTTAGGGCGTTTAGGGGTTTTTAGGGCTTAGGGCTTTTAGGGCTTTTACGGCTTTTAGGGCTTAGGGCTTTTAGGACTTTTAGGGCTTTTAGGGCTTAGGGCTTTTAGGGCTTTTAGGGCTTTTAGGGGCTTTTAGGGCGTTTCGGGGCTTTTCGGGCTTTTAGGGCTTTGAGGGCTTTTAAGCTTAGAGGCTTTTGGGGCTTAGGACAGCACAATGTGTGCTTTCACGATTCAATCCCAGAACCTCAGGAAGCTGAAAACAAAGGCACGACCCGAACAAAACCCAAAAGCGGTAGTACAGGGGCGTGGGTAGTCACAACGGCATCATGCGGAAGTACAGTATCCAGTATCACATGGCATCAATCTTACAATCGTGTCTTGGGGTACTATGGAAAAGTGTATGGGCACTGTACGACGGCTCCTTAACACGGGTTGAAATTTCGAGCTGTGCTTCGCGTACTTCGGGTGTTTTACGCTCAATTCCCACATTTTTCAAAAGGGCCGAAAAGACTCGCCTCGGGATTCGCACTGTATTGGATGCCTTAGGTTGAGGCTTTGATTTTCGGTTAGCAGCCTCAGAACCAACACGTGTATGGCTCAGGCTTAGCATACAGAATAATGCGCACATCCGGCCTGATGCAATGGACGCAGAAGGGGATGAGTCCAGCGCCCTTCCGAAAGACTTCACTCGGGAGGTGAGCTGTTGGTTCGCTTCGGCATGTTGACTCGCTTTGGGATTTCGAGTGTTACCAGCGCGGTTCAAGTTCTGCCTGTTGGTCTTGGCGGAATCCGCGACCTTCATTTCTGAAAGGTGAACATACATCGGCCCGGAAATGCTATTGAGAAGAATTGATATCATCCTAAACTCTGACCAGAATTTCAATTTTAGCTGCAATTTATCTACGACATTTTTGGGGGGAGTTCCACGTCAAATGAAACTGCGCCAGCAACAGTGGTGGTGGTGGTGGTGGTGGTGGTGGTGGCGGCGGCGGTGGTGGTGGTGGTCGCGGTCGTTGGTGATGGTACTGGTACTGGTTCGGGAACTGCTACTGACTGGCACTGGCACTCGTACTGGTACTCGTATTGGTACTCTCGTACTGGTACTGGTCCTGGTAATTGTACTTGTGCTAGTCCCAGGGCTAGCGCTCGTGCTGGTGCTAGTGCTGGTGCTGGTGCAGGTACTGGTAACTGCTACTACTAGTAGTAGCACTAGTACTAGTAGTACTAGTACTGTACTAGTACTAGCAGCAGTACTAGTAGTAGTAGTAGTAGTCGTCGTCGTCGTCGTCGTCAATGGACGGACAGCAGGCATACAAGGATAGGTAGCTGCTTGAGTTCTTCTCTACGAAGGCATGGTGAAATGTGGTACGTGGTACACCGTTGTTCCGAAGGATCCGACACGGCATGATACCAAAAGCAAACACTGCTCGTCGTTGTTCTACTTCTTACCGCTGCTGGCT